CAGGTTTTTTCAAATATCAGATTTTTCTTTGCCTACTTCCGTTTTTTGGAACATTGTCGGGACAGTCTTCACAGGTTATTGAATACTTAACACTGTGCATTTCGTCCTGCTTCAAACAAAGTCTTATTTCCATTGTATGCAATATTTGGATACAATGTCCATTTGTTTTGCCATTTATTTGCTTAGAAATATTGAGTTTGGATGCACGAGAGATGTTCAGTGTAGTTTTATCACATTTTGTTGATTAAAACAAAACTTAGTCATATCTTTATTGTGTATACTTTCTTTTGGACATTGGTATAGGTCTATCTCCCATAGATCTCAGTTCCTTTTGATATTGGCATGTATCGGACCATAACTTCATGGATTATGACTCCTGATTGTACGAAAAATCACATTTTTAGCTTGTCGATCCTGTAGAGATCACAATTTTCATCCGATTTTGATGAAACCTGGAATGCATGGTTATATCCCAAAGATCTTGGTTCTTTTCGATATTCGCGCATATCGGATCGTAACTTCCTGAATTATGGCCCCTGATTGTACAAAAAATCTACGAAAAATCAAATCATGTTTTGAGCTTGTGGTCCCTATAGAGGTCACAATTTTTATCCGATTTAAAAATAAAATGTGTGAATATATCACAGTTATACACTAATGATGGTTGAGTTTGAATTTCGTGAAAATCAGAAAAAACTGACGGACATAACGGCCGCCTTTTGTACGCAAATAGTGTAAAAATATGGTTTATCAAGGTTGTGGGCCCTCTAGAGGCCACAGTTTTCATCCGCTTTGGATGAAACTTTAAATATATGTTTTTATCATAAAGATCTTGGTTCTTTTTGATAATCACACATATCTGAATGTAACTTCCTGGATTATGGCCCCTGATTTGTCGAAAAATCGCATTTTTAGCTTATAGTTTCTCTAGAGGTCACAATTTGTCTTTTCGGTTTTAAAAAACGTTTTGATATATCACCATTCCACCATAATGAAGGTTGAATTCGAATTTCGGGAAAATTGAAATAAACTGCCCGACAAAATGGCCGCTCTTTGTACGCAAATTGTGTATAGGCATGTAGTACAAAGGTTATGGACCCTATAGAGGTCACAATTTTTATCCGATTTTGACAAAACTTAAAACATATCTTTATATTCCAAAAATCTTAGTCCCTTTTGATATTTGCACATTTCAGACCATAACTTTCTAGATTATGGCCCCTGATTCTTTTTAGCTTGTTCTCTATCCATCTCTTGCAAAATGTGGGCGTATCCTGTCTGGCAGCTGCTGGTTCAAAGATTGAGGCCCCTTTTAAACCACTTATATTATTTCAGTGCTTTTATATTTGGATGCACACCCTAGACCACTGATGGGACTTTGATCAAGAAAAGTTACAGAAAAATTGTAGGTGTAGTTTTCGAAAAAAAAAAAAGGCGTTTCAAAGGGCTCCAAATCGGAAAATACTAGTTATTCAGTGTTTCATAATTTATTGCCTAACTATCAAATTCGTATCGATTGAATGTGTTATAATAGTCCATCCATGGTACTATCCAGCGAGACTTTAGTTGGTTTAAAGCGGTGACATCTGATGGAGAAATCACGTTTTTTGTAAGAGCACCAATCTTTTTACCATCTTTTTTTTTTCACTTTCTGGACTACTTCGGTATACGGATCATTGTTGGGATAGTTTTAAAAACTGGTTTAGGTATTTGAATGATAGCAGGGCTCTATAATGTTCTATTGCATTATCTGATCAAATAAAATCCCCCTGAGAAATCCTATGTTCAAAAGTGCCATAAATGCAAAAATGTCAAAATATCGAAAATTAAATTTCAAAAATTCAATACATATTATACGTCATTAGAATCATCATTAGATCAGCTATCTAAATATTCCAGCTTTTTTGAAAATCTGTTCAAATAAAAAAAATAATATAGCATATTCCAAAATTTCACGTTTTTTCGATTTTCAGTCCCTTTTTTTTTAATCCTATTCCAGTTATTTCAAAGTCTTATTTGATGGCATCATGCACAAATCTACCGAAAGGACTCTTGATAGGTTAAGTTTTCGAGATAAAGGCGTCCCAAAAGGCTCCAAATCAGAAAATACTTATAGCGTGATATATTTTGCTTTCTGATCATCTTATTTGTACGAAAAAGGTATCATATACTAGTTTCTTCATCGGGCCGCCCAATGGTTCTTTAGTTTTTTTGATCCGGCAATATACGATGGAGAAATCACGTTTTTCCCAAAAGCATCCATTGTTTTTGCATTTTTTTTTTTACAAAATTGAACATTATTTCCACTACTTCCGGTTTACGGATCGTTGTTAGAATTGCTTTATTCCTCAGCTTCACCACATGGGTTTATGTTCCAGGAGTTTCAGAAAGATCCATTAATCCATTTAAAAAATATAAGGGTTCAAAAATGGGTTGAAAATTTGAAAAATATTTGAAAAATAAAGAGCGATAACTTTGAAAGAAACTTATATTGCTGATGAATTTCAGGTATCCAAAAATGTAGGTGAAAATTTGAAAAATAACTAAAATTTCTCTTAAACGTGTTTTTATACGCCCACATTGAATGCCTTGATGGAGTTGGGAGTTAGAAGATGAGAATTTTCTGCTTAGGGTAAGCAGAGATAAGCAATTTGATTGGTTGATGCTTTGGGACACGATAACTTGATGTGATAAAACCATACACCAAGTGTCATCACTCTCACTTGGTGTATGGTTTTATCACATCAATACCTTGACTAAGTTCCATAATAAGCATTTTCTGCTTAGCAATTTGATTGGTCAAGACTTTGAAACACAATAACTCTCCTTCTAATTAAGCAAGAGTGATGAAGCCCCGAGTATATATTCATTATATCATTACCTTGAATAAGTTTGATGATGAGACTTTTCTGCTTAGGCAAGGATCGATAAGCAATCTGATTGGTCAAGACTTTGGAACATAACAACTCTGCTTTTAATTGAGGTAGAATGTTTAAACTTGATGTAGATGTTCATTAGGTGAATGTCTTGACTGAGTTCAATGATTAGCATTTCGAGCTAAAGATAAACAGAGTTAAACAAATTCATTGGTCGATGCTTTGGAACAAGATAACTTCGATTCTATCTGATAGAGAGTGATGAAACTTAGTGTATAGTTGATAATCAGTCTAATGCTTGATACTTACGACAAAAATATGTGCGATTAATTAATATGTGTCATCTATTTATTTGGGATTTCGGTGGGGGACATCAACCTCACTGTTGTTTCACTTTGTTGCACCTTGTGAACGACAAAAGTTATCACTCAATCTGTATGAAAATCATATGCATCATTTAAATTAGTGAAATGAAGAAGCCTATTGAATGTCAGCAATTTCCGTCAATTACTTCTAGAGTTATGGCCCTTGTTTTACTCTGTTGAACCTTGTGAACATTCGAACGACGAAAGTTATCATCCGGTCTGTATGAAATTTATATGCATTATTTGAATGAGTAAAACGAAAAAGCCTGTCGAATTTCAACAATTTCTGTAGATTAGTTCCAGTGTTATGGCCCTTGTTTTAGTTTTTATAACCCTGTGAACCCTCAAATGACGAAAATTATAGTGTCATCTGTATGAAATTGTCTATTAAATGCCCCTAATTACCTACAAAAGAATAAATCTGTGACAACCCTTGTCGACTGCTCAGACGATTTAGCTGCTGTGGTCGTATGTTTTGTTGCCTGGCAAACTATCTTTAGAATAGTCAAAGAACTTTAGAAACCACAGCCGACTTGCGGTTTTCGAACTTTCGGGCACTTCTGTTCTAGGTACAACTTTGGAAATTGTTTTTTCGAGTAGCAGTCACATGGTTTTCCATCAAAAATTGAAACCCCTTATCGATAGTCAAAAGAATATTTATGTGTATCTGAGATAGCTTTTGTAATTTCAAGATATAGTGACAATATTACCATATTTTTCGGAGTGCAAGTTAATAGATTTGTCTATGGAAGTCAATCTTTCATCTTACTCTGCATAGATTTGTATGGGTGGAGGTAATAAAAAATAGTTTCGTCCAGAAAAATATATTTCCCAGAACCTGTGTACTGTGGAAAACTAAGAAATTGTTTTTAAAATGTCACATTTCTAAACCTTGCGCACAAAATTTGAGTGGTTTAATGAGCAGTTTCTGCGAAATAAGGAAGTGGAAACAGAACATAATATTGATCCAACCAAAAATCAGAAGTGTTTTACAAGTTTACAGTGTGAAACCCTATTTCAAACCAAATGTAGCTAATTTGGAGATCCCTATCTACCCTTTACGCAAAATGCATGTCTCTCATTTTACGCAGACGCACTAGTAATGTTTATGTTCTCTGATTGAAACAATTTCGAAATATTTGAAATTTACAAGAGAATAGTGAATTTTATCAAACTTCTAGGAGTTTAAATTAAAAACTGAAGACATGGCAAGAAATTTTAGAATCAGATTATCTTCTGGAATAGACAGTAGTTTAGTTTTTCTGTTACAATTTGAACAGTTCAAAATCAAAGAAAAAATGATGTTGTGCATCTTTGCTTTAAACTGAAGCATCAGGAAATATTTAATTATGAATTATTGGTGACATTCAACATTTATTTAGGGTGTTTCGTGGGTTGTTTTGCATCAATCCAACTAAGTGTCAAGACACATCATGAAATATGCACATGGTGAAAGCTATTGACATAGTTCAAATCCCCTAAAAAGTACCTTGTCACATATTATACTTGCAAGTAACTTTTAACTCCAGTTATAATAGAACATGTCTATAACAGATTTTTTATGAGTCTTTAATATAGGCAATATTCAATGTGGGCGTATGCCTATATTAAAGATTGTTATCACCGTCCCTACAAATGAATATATGTGACACATATGTTGTATGTCTGTCAGATAAAAAGGAGATCTATGTGATGGGCAAATGAAAGACATTAAAGTTACCTTGCTTTTACTGTATAACTGTGTGTTATATATTTTCAGGATCAAGCTATTAACTGTGATCATTTATGGGTGGAAACCAATGCTTCAGGGGATTTATGTTATGCTATGGACCCAGATTGCTTGGTAAGTTACAAATGTTTAAGGAATTCTGAAACTACAAGTAGAACTTATCTTTGGGTATAAAACAAGCATTTAATTAAAATTTATGTTGTTCCTCTGGATTTTATGATGTGATGATCAGGTTTTATGTATTTTCTGTTAATTTTGAAATGTATTGATGTTTTGTCAATGGTAAAGTGAGATGTGTAAGATCGCTAGTCTCCAGCCTGGTCATAAATCACCAGTAGTATTTATCAAAGGTTAACATCTATATTAATCTGACTGATTATTATCAGTAATTATTCTTGATGTTTGTAAGATGCCATCATCAAATCTATGTAGGAGGTACATCATCATCCATGTTTATTTAAGATACTTAATGACAGAGCAAAGAGATTTAGCCTGTCTGAGCACAACTCAGAAACTCCGATTCAGGATTGTCTGGTTGAAAGTGTGGAGATTTGTGCTTGCCAAGTAGGATTTTGGGCGAAAATCATATAAATTTTGTTTGATGAAAGGGCTAATAACAGATTAATTTAGTTTGGTGGTCATCGGTCAATTCTGCATTCAGTGAATATCGATTAGCCTACTCTGAATATAATCCGGAAAAATTTGATATTGTATATTTATTATCTGGACTTTTTTAAAAAAAATTTATATATTGTTTATATCTATTTGTTTTTTTGTCGGTTTTAACCGATTGATGTTTAATCTAGCCGATTAGCAAAACAATGAACCGGCAACTATGGTATCATGTATCAGTCTACTTTCGGATAAATTACAACGGGTGAATTATTACTTGTTAATTAAAAAGTTAATCAACTTGCTTGTCGGCTACAACAACAGTCATAATAATATATAAGTAAAAATCAACCATGTGGATCATAATTCGATTAATTAGCACATTAAATGGTAATTTTGATAATCCGGTAAAAAAGAAACCAAGCTTGCTGATTATTCAGGTTCAGTAAGCTGCCTTTGTAAAAAATAAGCCACGTGGTTTGCGAATCCCACATCTTTGACGCTCCATATGAATTCAAGGTACCGGTAGATATTAAAATAATAACTGGATCATACATGGATTCAGTGACCATGTTAGGTAAATTTAAATCTTCATTGAATATAATCCACTGATAGAACATCAAATACACCGAGAAACAGAATCTCCAATGTCGAATTCCAATGACACGTGATGTCGGTTGGAAACAAGTTTAAAATAGCTGACTGAGACTTAATTTGCAAAATATTGTCGTTATTATTGAAGGCAATATGGCATAGTCGTACAGAATTTATGTTAAAGCAATTTCAATAATGGTTGTCATGTGATCATTGTGCCGTTCGTCTATCATCGATGAATAAATAAAAACTTTTGCAAATTATGTGATCCAATGTGTTGTGATAATAATGACTTATTAAAATTTCTATAGATTTCTTTTAATACCAGTACCAATTATGCCTGAAGCCAGTAATCTTATATGACCACATGTTTAGTTACCGACGATGGACAGTCGACTCGTAGGTTTCCATTATTTGTAATTCTCGTCCTTTATATATATTGTTACCTACGTTTTTCAATTGTGTAAATTTGATTTAATCCTTACACTATAGTAGCTTCCTTAAAGGGACAATAACACTCTTGCTGGCTTGAAAGCTCCAGAAAATAAATAATATCTCTATCTATTCTAAGTACTAGATGTTTAAGTGTCCTGCCTGTTGTGTAAATTATCCATTACATCCTATTTTACTTGTCCAGAGGGTTCGAAAATATTTTTAAATCTAAATTTCATTTGAAAAGGTTTACGTTAGACGTTTCAAACCATTATGTTGAATTTTTCAAAATTTTTAAATAAGGTGTGTTAAGATGAAATTTCTATTATCAATTAATTGAAATATTCTAAAATAGTACATTTTGTTGACCAGAATAAAGATTGGGACATATTATTCCGTTACAACAAGAGTGGTATTGAGCCTTTAAATATCGAATTGTACACTCATTTAACATTCTAGGTTTTATCCCATTTCCAGGACAGTCACTCTGCCTTCAGACCATCCTCGGTTATGCAGTGTACTCATTCTGTTCTACTCCACTATACCCTGGGTTAATCCATAGGGTTTCCACGATTTCAAATTATCTGCCCAGGCCTAGAATGTAGCTACAGTCTACGAACCAATTAGAAAACAATTTACAAACCAATCGTTTCGCCTTCGTTTTTATAAGGGTAGATAACCATATTCATGTCCATTTACTGAATGATTTATGTAAATAATATATATATTTATAATTTATCTATATTTAATTGTATTATCAAAATCTGTAGTATGTGTTGTTGATTTCAAATATGTTTAACATCTATATGTTTGACCTTTGTTATTATTATTACTATTCGTTCTTTGTCAGAAATATGTCATTCTGTTATGTTTATTATTATTGAACTTACACTTGGCAATTTGATTCGCAATAACTTGTCTACGATATCACGTGGACATTAAATTCCGGGAAGGAACGAACGATTCTCAATAAAACTAATGACCCTACATTATTATATGAACGTCTGGTCTTCATTAACATAATATATAATTGGTTGTTAATAATTACGCATTTAGAATAGGCCAACTCCTAACATTGTCCTTGGAGAGTAACTTCCCTTTGCCAACTTCCTTTTGAAATAACAATTTATGGGATTGGTCAATAAAAATAGCAAAATCATCAAGGGTGGATAACTTGAAAATGTGTCTCCCACATAGATTAACCCAGGTTATAGTGAAGTAGAACGGAAAGAGTACACTGGGTAACCGAGGTTGCCTTCAGTTATGCTGTTCTGTGTATATGATATTTGATGCTTTCCGGTTTAAAGGATAATTCCAATGTATATTTATTACCGAAGAATCTCACTTCTACAATATGCATTGTTAGAAGTTTACTTTGTAAAATCTTGGGAACAATATGAAATAAAGAAGCCCAATAAAGTTCAACAATTTCCTTATTAATTAGTATAGTGGTTCATGCTCATTATTTTTTAACATTATATGATAAGACTTAACATATAAACTTCATACATAAACAATGGAAGTCTGACCACATTTAATTTTTGAGGATATAAATATTGGGAATTTGTTATAAATGCCTCAAAATCTGAGACTTCCATTGCCAAGGCAGTTAACTCTTAGTGACAATAGGAGTTATGTTCCTTGGTCACATTAAAATTGTTACCTACACCCCTGAAACAAATATTTCTTTATTACAGTCTGAAAATATTGTTTATTTCCTTGCTGCGAAGTAACAGAATTAAACCCCATGAGACGATTGAATATGACATCTGTACATATGCTCAAATGCTTAGTTGTTTTAACAATACATCCACACCTTCAAATGTCTTAATACTAACTGTTTATAATGCTACAGTGGCAATTAAAATACATATTTAACTGGATATGGAAAGATTGACGGTTGATATGGATTGTTGAAAGATTAGCCTAATTTTTGATAAATATGTTTCATATCAAAAGGATCAATGCCGCTTTCTAATATGGGCCACAGTGGGGCAGTTATTAGTTTATTTATCAAACCCAAAGTCTGGCATTCTATAAGGAATAAGGAATTTTAATATCTAATGAAATACTTTGGGTCAATCGATTTTCTGCGCCAATTGCGCATTGTGAAAAATATTAAACCGGTTACCATGATATGGCATAAGCGGTAATTTTGAAATCCCTAAGGAATTTCAATATAATTTGAAAAGAAAATAACAAGATGACTTTTTGTCTTCAACATGAGTCAAGGCCTTACAGATGGTTTGAACCAATCAAACACACCCCGATTCAAAAATGATGTAGCGGTTATCAACATTTGGGCCGAGAAAATTTTAAAATACAATTCTTCAAATTTTTTCAATTCCAGAACACTTTTATCCGCCAAACCAGTTAATAAACTGAAGACCACAAAAAAATATGATTAATATTCATATGAATATTTCGCTCAGAAACTGATAAATCTGTGCAGTTTTCGACTAATTTAATGCAAAGAATGACTCTGTATTGTGTAGATAAAGAATTAAAAAACTTTTAGGTGATGGCTCTGTCTGACATGGTATTTTTAATTTCGAAAATAACAGATTTACTAAATGATCCAGCCATTTCGTCGAGATCTGTCAAAATTTTAGTTAATGTCTTTAATGTAGTTTGTGCAGATTTATCAGCCATTTCACGAAGACCAAGAAGAAGTGACGTATGTGTCGAGTCGGCTGTTATTGTGTATGTGCCGAATTTAGAACCAAATTTTGTAGTTTCGTCTGACTTTAAGGTTTCCGAAACATGTTTTAAAGATTACTTTTACCCAGCTTCCTAGTCTTTGTCTTCAGTCTGGCCAGTCTATTTTGAATGTCTTTGTCACCAAGCGTCACACAGTCGTCATGTAAAGCAGTTATGATAGACCGATGCTCCATAGTTACCATGGGTAGTTTGATTACAGTGCTCAAATCATAGGGGTACTTGTCCAATCCAATGCTGGGTAGCAAATCATCGGTGGACGCCATCTTGCCGGTCTCCGTCTCAGATCTAGGAAAAAAAAGTCTGTCGATCAAGACTTGAGGCCACAGAATAATTAAAATAATTTACATCAAGTTATCGAAAATGAAGACTACAATTAAAAATTTTGTTTTTGGTTATTTTACGGTCTCAAATAGTTTTGTTTATTTAGAGCTAGCAAATATATATTTCCTAAACTCACGAGAGCGGCATGTAAACGAAGATTGAAACCACTAAATAAAAGTAAATCTCAAAGTGTTGTAATGAGTTTATCTTGCCGCACTCATGAGTTTGAAAGTTAGAAAAGAAACGAAGCTATTAGTATTACAGGTAGCTCCCTACCGAAATTGCCAAAATCAAAAATAAAATCAATGCGTGCAATCAAAATTTTTTTGCTCATGTTCGCTATTAGTATTGAATAAACATGTAAGTCCAAGCACGTAATGAGTGTATTTTTTTACTCGTCTTTATATACAAGTACATGTTCGTGGAAAGCTATT